TAAGCCATGTAGCAACCACGTGCTGAAAGAAGCTAGGTGAGATATTAGTTAAGAGTTCCATGTTTTCTGTTACACCAAGGTTATTATATTAGGAATTAGATTTTGGGTCCATTGACCACTACTGGTCCATTCCGACCACGGCCTTTGCCAATGTTCAAGAGATGTTGCTCTCATGGTTATCTTAAACGCCCTATCTCTCCCGTACGTTTTCTCCCTTTCCTTCACCTGCAGATCTATGGGGATTATGTCTGCCAATACTAGCAATGCACTAGTTGACACCGTTCTGAACGTACTACATATTCGAATAGCCATTTTCCTATGGATCTGAAGCAAAATATTTGTGTATTTCCTGTGTTTTAGAACACAATCTTGTCTTCGTAGATGTTGGTCCTTGTAGTCTTTTCATTAGGCTAAGGCAGTAGCCGAGGTTTCTGCTTTTTGATATGCGTTGACGATGTGCCGTTTCATCGTAGTCCCTTGATCAATCAGTATCAGATTTGGTGGCAATATTGGTATCCATGATCTCAATTGTGATTGTTTTTACAGTTTTGCTATCAATCCTTAGCATTGCGCGAGTTCTAGATTCATCTTCATTGAACACTCCGTTATACGGTGAATGGCGATATTAGCCAAAGTCGCCAGCGTTTCTTCACTTTTATTAGTTGCAACTATAGCAAATTTTGGTTTATTATTTCTTTATAAAGTTGGAAACAATTTAATTGAATCTCATTTCGTTTTGGAACTCCAATTATCAGATGCACCCGTACTTATAACAGGGTAGAGAACGCGTTTCCAGATCATGACCTATTTACTCTGAGCTTTAAACTCTTTAAACGACACTTAAGACGCTATACCAATTAAAATTCTGTAATAAAAAACTATAATTAGTTCTGAATTAGATTTATCTTGTAAAAAATAATTTAAACTAGTCCACAATCTTTTTTTGCGGCATTTTGCGCTTTCATTTTATTGGACAGCTGCGTCTGTCTGTATACTTTTATAGAAATAAAATGAAATAAATAAAATAAAATATGAACACTTATTTATATATTGTGTAAATTTGATACCTCATTTATGGATTTTATTAACACAAAAAATGCATAACAAATTTACGTATTCTGTTAGTGTTTCTTATCAGTATTAGAAAATATTTTCAAAATATTAGCAATACAGTTTAACTTGGTGCTTGTTTTACTTTCCGAAGATTCCAACAGCAACCGCAGAAAATTTAATAAAACCAGCAGGAGCTAAATTCGATGAGTGGTGGTCAAGCATGCATTCGTCCAGCGAATAGTGTAACCGCAATTTAATTTACGCAACGTTTGTTCGTACACAGATTATTAGAATAAATATGTTAGCATAATTTAATTAATTTTAGAGGCTGGCATTAATAACGTACTCGCCATTTTATCGGTCTTTAAACCACAGTAATATAATCATGTTTCTCGTGAATATGTTGATCGTTACGCCAAGTGCAGAACGCCAATTTGGTTAGGCAATAATGCTCACGAATGAGCCAAAATTAGTCAGGTATTGAAAAAAACTCAGTATTAATATTAATCATGCTATTAAAAAGTATTTTAAACCATTTTTATGAAAATCAATAGGAAAGTGTAAGCAAGGGAGGAATAAGCTGAATAAAATATAGAGAGCAGAAGTAAAGCTGTTGCGCTCTATGCTTATTAAAAGGAATCGCAATTTGTGACTTTTACGAGTCAAACTTTTGGTTATTTGTTTATTCTGTGCTAGTGTTCATGTTTCACTGATTTAGACTTAGACTTATTCTCACTCTTTTCACAATGTTTTAAATATTTTCAATGAATTAATATATAATTTAAAAATGAGTTAATTAAAACTAATTAAAACTATTTTGTGTTTTCTACGATAATATTAGAAACTCGCAATAATTTTTTTTTGTCTTCCTTTCATCTTCGGTTTTCTTCCATATTTCATTTATGGTAATTTGGGGGATAATAAATATAAATAACAGAAATATTTGGTTTTATCTGAACTTAAGATATGTTAATTATTGTTATAAGCTGTATTTCATGTTTATGTACATGTTTATAAATATTCGGTACCTACTATTGTAAAGTGTATTAAATAAATATTTAGCTTTAATATTTTTACTTCTATTGTACAGTTATTGATCAGAATTTTGAACTTCACTAATGTTTTCTATGCTATGCTCTATGCCCACACCAGGCAGCAAACATGTCGTTTTTAATAATTGACATGGCTTTCAAAGAATATTGCTTGGCATTTCTTGGAACCCCAACTCGTAACTAGCGAGATATAAGTAAAAGATATAGAGGTATAATTTAATGTAATTTCAAAAAAGAGTAAATAATTGATGCCCATGCTTATTCAGTAAAAAAGGACGTTAAAAATGCCCATAAAATAATTTATTTCCAAACATGTTTTTTTTTTCATTTATTAATTTCGCTGTACGTAGCCAATAGTGAAATATGGCGAAGATAAAAACCGTTTCCGAAATATTTTTTGTGTTATAAATCATCAGGTACTACTCACTCAACGTGAGAGACGAAATTATATGCCTCTCCAATACGTAACAATGGAAATAAAGTCCCCAAAAAGAGAAAATCGAATCCGCGAAGTCGGGATTTTCTGCCAAAAGGAAATTATTCGAGACCAGAAAATAAAAAAGGGTTATAAAAGAGAGCTTTGGCCGGCTCAATCCATAAAGGGAATGCGGAAGTGAACTGAGAGCTGAGCCGGATATTTTTGGTTCGCCTCTTTCTAAATTAAACCCAAAATCAAAGAGACCAACTCCTTGTCTCGAAACTTCAAACTTTCTGCGCGTATATGGTCAAAGAGTATGGTATACCGAAATAAAAATCACTAGAAAGCCTCTATTGGCTTTATTTCCCAGTTCTTGCAATAAAAATTCTGGCAGCGTGAACGGAAATGGAAGATAAAAATCAAAATAATTCCAGGTGATTTATTGCGACATCTCGCAATATTTTAGTAAAAGACCTCGTTCTCTATAAGACATTTTACTGGGCGATATAAATGTATACGTGCCAACATTTTTTAAAGTGGATCTTTAATATACATTGTGTTCCACCACATGACAGCCATAGTGTGTTGCTGGGGTGATTTTAAGTTAAAAATGTTAAACAAATATATAGTCGGAACGCTATTTGAACTGAGCTATAATCATTTGAAATTTTAAAAACCATTTAAAGAAATACAGCTTTATTGAATTAATACGTTCGGCTGTTAATATTATTATTAAAAAGTTCAGGTGGCTCTGAATTTTAGGTATTGTGACAGTAAACTTCAATTAATAGCATATTATGCAACAAGTGCGGTAAACGGCATTTGACTCACGAGTTTATTTAACACGAGCGGAGCGAGTGTTTAATAAACGAGTGAGTTAAAAAGTTTACCGAACGTGTTGTGTACTATACTGTTTCTAGGACCGGTACTTTTTGGGTACATTTTCGCAAAACAACACGAATACAATCACTGACATGACCGTCAGAATTGACAAACGTCAAAATTCAAAGCGTGGGAAATATCTCCGAAAACATACGATTGCTCCTAAATCTGTGCGGTAAAAACCCGGAAATGTCCGAAGTGGCTCGGATTCATGGGAAACGAAACTGACGTGGTAAAGTCACGCTTTCCGCACGCTAGATCGGTGGGTAATTAGGTATTTTATAGACGGCAGTAGAAAAATTAATTTTGCGTGTTTATTTTCGTCTTATATATTAAAATACTCTTCAAGGTACAATATTTACTTTTATGAATGAAGAATACGCCGACATTCACTATGTATGAAACTGACGAGCGGCAGTTGATGAATATCGTTGTCTACTCGTAGAGTGCCTTGTAGAAATGTTTATAGCACAAGCAGGCATAAACAGGCAACTTTATTACAGCTACTTCTGAACTTCCCGTTCTTGCTCAAGAAGATGCAATACTTAATACGATAGATGCTCAACATTTTACCTAGTCTTCGCAGAATATGTAATAGACTTAAAGTCGGATGAGAATAAGGAGAACTTTATACAATTCTCCATTTCCATTGTACCCATACCACATCTTACCTGTACAAGATTTAAAACCTGCCGACGACGCTTGAAGCCTTGAATTTGGTCGCTGGATATAGAGAAACAAAAGGATTTGTCGGATAATATTATGTAGCGATGAAACCTCATTCACCCGAACCGGTATCACACCAGGAATTCACATTGTTAAGTACTTGAAAAACCACGACAAACTCGGCAATCCAATTATCAAGATAAATTTTCGGCGAATATTTGGTGCCTCACGACTACTCATTATTTACGTTTCATTGAAAATATTACTGGATGATGTTGTGGATTCAGTACGATGGCGCACCTCCTCAATTTGGTCGGTAAGTTACAGAATTTCTTAATGAAAATTATACAAACCTGCGGATTGGAAGAGGTTCAGCAGTTCCTCAGCCAGCATGGTGATTTGACCTTAATCTCTTGTACTACTTTTTATGGCAAAGACTGAAAACTTTAGTTTATGTAGAAAGTATTGAAAACACAGAACAACTGGTAGCTAGAATTATGGATGCTGCAGAAACTATTTGTGCTGACTCTGAGGCTGTTAGCAGAGCTACCACTTCAATTCTGAGAAGAGCTAGACTATATATAAAGCAACTGGGTAGACATTTTGAACAATTAATTCAATAAAGTAAAATATAAATAAATAAAAAACAAAGGTGTTTCTTTTACATGGTCGTTAAAATTTCAAATGCTTGTCGCTCAGTTAGAATAGGGTAGACATTTTTAACTTCAAATCACCCCAGCACACTTCCACTCCCACTCCCAAACTGTGACATATCGTGGGACGCCCTGTATGGTAAATTTTGTTTTTTTTTTCAATTTCGTTAAATATCTAAAAACATGACGCTTTAAAGCATCTCCAAGTTTTTTTGAAAAAAAAAAGATTTGGTTCAATTTGACAACTTATTAACTCATTTATTTATGAATTTTCAGGTCCCAAACGCACAAGATGTTGGCACCTACACATTCATGGCTGTGTTCTTGGTAATGAACACGTTTCTGCTCATATGGTGCAAAAAAGGTTTTGAAAACGAAGTCTTATGGGCAGCATTTCCGCATGTCAGTTGGCATATCGCCAACACCCAAGTCTTAGCCGCACTTTTCCTAAATAAAAACGATGTAACCTCCAGAGATAGCCTGGGATGGGTGTTACTTCTCGACTACCTTGTATACGTCACGCTGCCGTTGAGGCTAAGATATTGTTTCATTCTAAGTGTAATGACGTGTCTTTCGTATACTGCGGCGCTAATCTATCTCACCGTATCGGATCTTCATATGATTGAACAGGTAAGAAGAATATAAAACAAAAAACTACACCTAAAATTGCACCTACATTTAGATTAGCTCTATATACACTATAAGATGCCATATCATTATGAAGCAATATTTCCTTCGGAATTGTCAGTAATCTACACTCACCAAAAAATGCCTAAACACAGTCCTGTACATACATTCAAAAACAAGCGACGGAAAAGTGGGAGTAATTTAGCGAAACCATTTTCCAGGGTCTTGTATTTGACTCTAATTATAGAAAATTGCCTTGTCATCTAATTTGTTTCGGATTGATTAAATTCTGAAGCCGGGAAGGGTGTGGCTTGTTGTTGTAGTAATACTATTCTTTCCTTGCGTTCAAGAACGTTAAAACGATTTCCGTTGGTTAATATTCTACAAACTTATTTAAAATATTGATACGATAATTGTTTTCTCCTCAAAAAATCAATATCGATCAATAATGGTTTTGAAGGTGGTACACAACTTTTATTGTCTCTAATTTTTTGATAACGGGTAGACATACATCTTCCCGAATCATTGTGTAAACAAAAAATAAAGACAATATTCCTAATCGATATGTTATTGTATTTATTTCAATTTTTGGTTTTAAAATTGGTTTATATTTAATCGATATACTGCACTGCAAAATGCTCCAGAGAACTTCAAGCCAAACGAATTGTCGGAGGACAATATCCGCCTATCAAACAAACGACGAAAATGTTCTAGATTCCGAAACTTTTCAGGCGAGCTGTATCGATTTACATTTAGATAAAAGCGTCGAGAAGTTGGACCATTTCCCGTTACACATTTTGTTCAATCTGTTTTAGCATTTTCTACCCGTAGAGTGCTAATTTACTAGACTAATTGACCATTTGCTTTTACCAGATACAAAATGTTGTTCAAGGAGTCAACGTTAATGGAATGTAGCTTCAAATTTTGATTGTGTTGGTAGAAACCCGGGTAGTGTCCGATACGTAGATCAAAAAACTGCAGCAAATTCACCCAGAATTGATTTTTCAGACCAGAAAGAGCCTTTGAGTCAACAGTGGCTTGCCTTTTTTTCGTTTTGCATTTTTTGATGACTTTCATTCGTTAATTAATTCAAAAAAAATATTTTTTTGTATTTAGAATAATACCATTCATAGGTAAATTCTTCAGAAACCCAACCAACCAAGTGAATAAAAAACCGGAAATATCCCTGATAATAGGTAAGGAATCTCGCCGCTTAAAGCGATACTTTTCCCACGCTCGGATTGGTGTATTATTGGATACTTCAGATTAGAGAGCAGAAGAAATTACACATTTTTTTGTACTTACTGAACATATGGAACTATTTTACAATATAACATTTTTTAAAATTAATATCAAGTTAGTTCAACTTGTAATGAGAATGATTATAATTGTACTTAACTTTCACGGTGGCGTAAGAAGAACAGCTTGGTAGTCAGATAAATTAGGAAAACCGTACATAATGCGCTGTAGAAGCTTGCTTTATATTACATTCCAATCAGGAAGTACATTGATAATAACAATAGAGGACTATCAATTGGTATGGTGTAATCTGTTATAGAGGTAACATCCTTACATAAAATACTACTTGTTGCGTATATAATTTATTGGAACTTAAAATGAATTTACTCAGTTTCTCCCGCTTTCTCTCCCACTATTTCCAGAATGGGCGGCAGGTCAGGATTTTGTATGCAGTAAATAAAATCTAAAATGCTACAACCATCTACAATTATTAAGGTATCGTCTGTTCCTGACTCACTTTTTTATTTCATTACGGCATCGGGCTTGTACCGAAGGGCTAACACCCCATTAGCCTTGTTTTCCTCGGATTAAAACTATAAATTTTGCATGTGGCAATGTCTCCTAGCCGGAAAGCGCTTCTTCCTCAATTTACATTTTACACACTACGTGCCCGAGTTTGGTCGCCCAGCTGGGGCCCACGGATCGATACTTCGTAAAGTTCCGACCTTCCTAAGAGCGTTTTTATTAGTTTTCCAGCTCTTTAATTGCGGTGCACTTCACCGCGACCCCATTGTCGCACTTTCTTTCCGCACTCGAACACGTTTCGCAGATAGTGCACGGGATGGTGTTGAAACAATTTAAAAGGTTGTTAAAAAATCTATAGCTAATAGAGAAACATGAAGGGTAAAGCCAGTATTTAAATGAAAAATATTAAAAACCACAAAAATGTTAGTTTTTACACTTAACATCTGAATGTGCCCTTTTTTTTCCTAAATCTTTAACGCCATCTAGCCATGTTTTGTTAAAATGCTGCCGTCAAAAAGTTATATCAAAATTGCAACCTGCCAGCGGTTATTTTAGTTTTTTGCTTTTGGTCTTATTGGTTGGATAATGAGAGTTGTTACTGATTACAAACGAGAGTTACCGCGTATGCTCATATTAAATGGTCCTTCTCAACATATTTTTCAGTATCAGTTCAAAAGTTTTAGCAGGGCCCTCATATGGGTGAAACCTAACGAAATCGTCAATACAAATTGAACTTTTTTCAAGCTGATCGAACATTTTTGTGGACCTCAAGTCACAGTCTCGCAAAGTGAGCAAAATTATAGTAGCCTTAATTCAAGTCTCATTTTTTACATCCCGTTTGCTAGTTGGTAAGAGGGACCAGATCATATGTTCGGCCTTTATATGTACAAAGTTTTATAAATTTATGATAAAGTGTCTAAATTTCATAATCACCTATTTCACAATTTATTCCATATTTGCGATATAGTTTTTCCGAATCTTCTTATCTCAAATATTTTCGATATTTCCCTACGAGATATTTATTCTATGGTTCAAAGAAGAGAGATTTTTTACATCAAAGTAAATAAAACTATGGTTTGTGTATTTATATAATATATTTGAAGAATATCTATTAACAGTTTGCATTAAAAAATGATGATCATTTGATGATGAATATCTGCATTTGAACTGTTGGATCTAGATATTATAAATGCATTTTATTTGGCACTTCATCCGTAATATTTCAAATATTTTGGATTGCCGGTTATGGTTATGCCTAGAAATCACATTCGCTATCGCAGTGTAGGTTCAAACCCTGCTGACTGGAAACGCCCATTGTTTTGCTTAAAAATATCTTTTTTAACTAACAGCTAACTAAACAGGGGAAAATTTTATCAACCATGTGAATATAATATAATCTGGAAAAACTGATATAATATGATGATTATAAATGCATTTTATTTTCCAAATCATTCTAAATAATTGGACTTTCAGATAGATTTAGTCTTGGCCTATCGCCGCAATATAACAATATATAAATATTACTAATAAAAATAATAATAAAATAGTAATTACTTTGTAGGGTTATATAGGATTGTGGATTGTCCATGTTAATTTGGGATCACATTTCAAATAATCGATTTTGAGATTTTATGTAGCTGGCTCTACATCGATAAATTAGGGTGAAGTTTCTAAATTTTCCTCACGTACGGCATCTGTATTCGCAGTTATTAAAAGCGAAATTTAATTAAACAATTTTAGTCGCTCTTTCAACTCTTGACTTTGCTTTAGACATTCCGTTTGTGCGACAATTAAGTTGAAGGGGATGCGCAATTAATTGTCCAAGAACATGTATTAATTGAATGCCTCAGAATCGAAATTGCTCAGGTGGCGTCCGCTTATATACCGTCGCGAAATTCATAAGCTTAATATCAATTATAATCGAGTTAGAGGACTGAATATAACGTTCGGAAATAAATCACGGGATCGAAATTGACAGTGCATACAGCGGCGGTCTCGCTGATGGGACTTATCTTTTCCCTGGACTACTACGAAAGCGGATTCAATTTTAATGGCGATTAATTGTTTTAATTCAGCGGTGGGCGTTAATGCCCCGTCAGCCAGCAGTAAATTATCAATTGTTTTGATTGCTAAATTGTGTTTGGTCACAGTGGGTCCAATTTTATGGTCTGGGGTTTCCATTTTGCTAAGCGTAACCGTTGCCAGTATGTTAGTTCGAACGTTTAGTTGCCATCGTGACTCGTTTGTCCCTATACCTGATGATTCATGAATAATTGAAAATATATAAACTGTAGAATTCTCAAAACATTAATTTTTAACACAAATAGCTTAAAGTAAATGTGCGTTTTGAAAATTTCCTATGTTATTAAAATTGCTGTTTAACTTGGATTGTAACAAAATGGTTATTTTAAGCGCAATATTTTAAATGTTGAACGCACCCGTTCGTTGAAAGAAATTGCAATAAATAACATTTAGCACGGTTAAAATATTTCAAATTATTATAGAATCGCTCTATATATGATAGGTGTAGCAAAAGAAGTTGCAATAATATTACAAATTAATAAATTTAATTAAAATATTAAATTCAAGTGAATGATGTTTGAGAGTGAGTTGGTTAAAATGTTCATTTCCAAATATGGAAAATGAGGTAACAGAGGAAAAAAGTATTTTTTTAGGAAAGTGGGAGGAATAATTTTTAGTAGTGAGTTCATATTTTTGAAAATTCAAGGAATAAAGGAACGAATGAATCAATTCTTTTTTCTAGGAAATATATTTAGGTTTTTGCATTTTGCATTGGATTTTTTAAAAATTAAAAAAAATGTATGAAAAATTTTTAAAAAGAAAATTGTTTCTTTTATTTTGTTGAAAAATTATGGGGTATCCCAAAGATAAATAAATAAATTAAGAGAGAGAATGGAGACATTACTTGTTTTATATCAAGTATAACTTAATAAATGCAGTTAAGATTTAAGAAACAAAATTAAAAAGAAAGCAATTCTACACAATAGCGTTATCAAGATTCCGATTTTTTGTCCTTGTTTTTTGATATCTTTCGAAATAGATGTTATGGCGAAGCGGAAGTTATGTCTCTCTATATTCAGGATCTTTAAGAATTGTATCTAATATCACTTTAGTAGTGCTTAAGTCACTATTTTATGATAGGTTTAAGCCGCGAATAGCATTTGGGCGTTTTCTAGCTCTGACGGGCAAGTCATAAGGCACTCAGTGCATGTATTCGT